CCTGAGCCGGTGAGATTTGAACCGCTGACCTGCTGATCTAGCAGTAGCCTGCAGTGCTGCATTTAACCACTGCGCCACCTTGGCTCTTAGAAAAGTTAAATATGGGGGTGGGGGGAGTAATTGTATGCTCTTGATCCATATAGCTTCCCTGGGAACCCCCTAAAATCCAAACGTAGAGTAGATGAGGGCTATCTGATTACATACGTGTCTGATCACTATCTCTTCTCAAGTCATAAGATACTTTTGAAATCTGAATATGTTTGCTCTGAAGAGAACTGCTCTATATGGAATGGCACGGAAATCTATGGCTCACCCGCTACCACTGCTTTGTGTGTGCCGAGGATTAATCTGAGTATAAATCAGCGCTCAAAATGGTTGCTTGCTACAAAGAGCAACAAAAAGCCCAGACTCACCTATGAGTGGAAGCTCTTCCATAGTAATGCCCTGAGATTTGAGGTGCTTCTTGATACAGGCCAGACGCTGCACATTGGGCCCCCAGCGCCTGCTGAGTTTGTGAATGTGCTGGATCTGGGTCACAAACCGCATCTCTTCATTCAGCTTGCACTCAGGCCTCCAGTCAGGCGGAGGGATTACCCGGCACATCCCATACTTCTCAACCTGAGCACGGACTGACTCAATGTATATCAATGGGTCATGGAACTCCTTGGGGGAAGGCCTGAGAATAGGAATCTCTTCCATCGTGGCCCACCCGGACTTGACGCTACCTTTCTCGTGCTTCCCTGTTGAGTCATGTGGCTTGTGCAAGGACTCTGTTTGAGAGGTAGAATAATGTTCACAGGAGGCATTTTCTGTTTTGCTATGTGCTTGTTTCCCTGGCGTGTTCTTCCCAGCAGCAGCAGCAGCTCTTTTCGGCCTATTCCTTTCCAGACTATTCTGTGGCACTTCCTGACTCCCGGGCTTTTTCACATGGCCATTCAGCAAAGGTCTTTCCACGGATGGCGCTTTTTTGCTTGGGGTTTCGGCCACGTTGGTGGCTCCCTTCACTTTCTTGACAGGTGACTGTATTTTGTCTATATGGTTTGCTTCCTCCAGCCTCCTTTTTGAGTTGCGCAGCCCTTCCCTCAACTGCCTCCCTACCTCCTTAGTGCATGTCTTTTGGTTCAACTTGCCATTGACCTTGACGCCGTTAATAGCTGTGTTGTTAGGCTTGGCCGCTCCGAGGGATAGCACCTGTTTACGGGTTTTTGCATTGCTACTTTCCATTTTCCCTGAGATTGTGTGGTTGACAGGTGTACTGAGTTTGTGGTGATTTAGTTTGGTTTCCTTGACCAGTTCTTTCTTGGCTTTGGTGTATGTGACAGTTCCTTTAGTCACTGTTGCAGTGTACTTCACAGTTTTGGACGGTGAAGGTCTGACGTCTCTCATCTTTTTGGCACTGGCTGTATTTGCACTCAGAGTTGACATTCGAGTGATACCATTGACCTTTGAAACCTGGAGATGCCAGGAATATCAGAAAGCAGGAAGGAAAGAGAAAAAAAGAAAAACCGATGAATATTAAGCAAGTCAACGAATAGACAATAAACCTTAAAGGCTTCACCTCTCTTACAAGCCCCTTGGAAAAACCCCTCCCCCATACACACAGTTACAACAAATGGTTCTAGATATTATTGTTATATCACAGACTTAGAGCAGTGTCGGGTGCTTTTTAAAATAAATTTAGGAATGAAACTATAGAAGAAAACAGCATGAGCTGTGCATATCTTCACACCTCTAATGCTCCCCAGTGAATGAGACAGTGCTTCTGTTTCTTAGCACTGCTTGATAGTGGGACTATGCAAAGATTTTGTATCATGGTTTGGTTCTAGAATGGATCCAATGTTGTTTGGATCTTGCGAATATATAATATGTGCTGCCATGTTTCCTTTTGCTTTACCCTAACCCTATTATATCCTAGTGTTATAAAACACTTTATGTGTATGGAGAATCATCTAAAGTTCCAAAACAATATAATACTTAGGGCAAGTCTAAATTAGTGATAATAATAATAAATATAATTAGTGATAATAATAAATACAATAATAACATTAAGACGACAAGGCAGCAGAATGTACAATAACTAGGATGAAGTAAACTGTTAGTTTTTTCCAAGTCTAAAAATAATCTATAGTCTATTTTGTTTTTTTTTTTTGTTTTTTTTAATTTTTATTTTATTTTATCAATTTCATATATACATTCACAATTATATGATCTCATAACTGTT